AACTTTTATTTTGGATGCGATTAATCGCGATTAATCGTTTGATATATATATATATTAATCTTTCATATATATATACTGTATATATGGTACATCCTTGTGGAATAAAAGTATTAATTACTTTCTTAAAAAAAATAATACTGACCCCAAACTTTTGAATGGATTAGAGGTTACGCACCTCTGAAAAATTCAGAAAAAACACCTACTAAAAAAGAAAAATTTCGGACCCTAGTTTCAAGGAAAGCTGCATTCATTTTTAAATTTATTTCCTGCTGAGTTTCTACTTTCTCCATCTGCTTATGTATTCCTCTCTTGTTTTTTTTGCCGTCATGCCCTGTTTATCATTCTCAGCATCTCTCTCTCTCCACAGGCAGCCTGTAAGGTGTCGGTGGTGTTTTGTCATTATTGCGTCATGGCTAATTTCTTCTGGTTGCTGGTTGAAGCCATGTATCTGAACTCTCTGCTGGTCTCGGACTTCCCGCGCATCCGCCGCTGTGTCTGGAGTTTCGCTCTGCTGGGCTGGGGTGAGATGCTCATATCTCTGTCCCTAGAGCCATCCGGCCCTGTCCTCTCTCACGCTCTTTCCTCTGGCCATCACAAATGAGGTTTCTCTTAATAGCTTGCCTTACACTATGTGAGTTATTGAAGGAACAAAAACAGAAATTTTGATCTTAGATCTTAGTTTGTAGTCCTGACATGATTTCTTTGACTAAAGGTTAATTCACAACAACACAGGGAACAATAACTATAAATGGTCCAGCTCTTTTAAAGCAGAATGGATTCTGATTGGCTGTGAATTTTGTTATTGTTCATCTGTGGGGAAAAAATAATTTTGAAAGTGATTCCAACGATACTGTTTTTCTGTGTCAATATCGTTATAGTAGTGGTGAGACAAAAAAAAATGTGAGCAAAGACTAAATTAAATTGCTAAAATAATGACAAACACATCTCATCTGCCATTGGTCAGATTAACACATAGGGCCCTATTTTAACGATCTAAGCGCATGGTCTAAAGCGCACGGCACAATTGTGAATCCACTTTTGCTAGTTTAAGGACGGGAAAAATGGTCGGCGCGCCCAACACATGTTCTAAAAGGGTTGTCCCTATTCTCTTAATGAGTAATGGGTGTGTTTTGGGCGTAAAGTGCCATAAACCAATCAGAGTCTCATCTCCCATTCCCTTTAAAAGCCAGTTGCGCTCGTGCCATGGCGGATTCGCTATTTACATGTTGGAATTTACAAGTGGAAAAACGCTTCTCTAGTGAGGAAACGGATCTGCTCGTGCGCGTAATTCTGATAGACATGCAAAGACTATCCATTATGACATGTAGGCATTTTTATATTTATGTACACAATAATAATCTTTTACATTTTTATCCTTTCAGTTTTTATTTTTAAAAATGTTTGTGTGCTGCTGCGTGTCCCTGTGTTTGTAATAAGCAAAGTGTACGCACGTTGAGCACCCTCCTATAGGCGCATATTACTAAGGCGTCGGGCTGAAACTAGTAAAAAACACTTGCGTCGCGCCTGGCGCCGCATTGCACCGGGTGTATGATAGGCCCATAGTCCTGCCCCAACTTCACGCTATTGGCTACATGAATGTTGTTGTGTCAGTGCTTATAATGGTTGTGGCAGAAGCTAACAATAAATTAGTTTTATCCCTTCTAGCCTTAACCATTTGTAATTTTTGGTGGAATTGACCGACATATATCTATATATAATAGGACGAAGTCTTTCACAAAGTCTTTTCACTATCATTTAAAAGTGCGATTTTCTTTCTTTTTTTAAAATTAATACTTTCATTCAGCAAGGATGCATTAAATTGATCAAAAGTGACAGTAAAGACATTTATAATGTAAACATTTCTATAAAAATCGGATCATGGAAAATCATAGGATCATGTGACACTGAAGACTGGTGTAATGATGCTGAAAATTTTTCAAATTTTCTGTGCAATGCAAAACTGAAAACAGCTTTGCATCACAGAAATAAATTCCATTTTAAAATATATTATAACAGAAAACAGATATTTTAAATTGCAATAATATTTCATATTATTACTGTTTTTACTGAATTTTTGATCGCATAAATGCAGGCTTGGATAGCATAAGAGACTTCTTTCCAAAAAATTAAAACATCTTACCAACTCTATTCCTTTGAATAGTAGCATATGTATGTAAAGAATAATGTATGCGCTTTGTGACACGTCGCAGCCCCTCTAGGTTTTTATTTTTGCAGTAATGTCCATTTTATTACTGATGCATGCTTATTTCTGAAACCTATTATTTTTCTCATGTTAGCAGCTATTACAGTCTCACTGACTCCAATCAGTGAAGTACAGCATGATCCTTTTGTTGTTTTGTTTCTCAATTTCCATTTATACTCTCTCTGTCTCTCTCTCTCTCTCCTGCTCTCTATTACCCTGGGAGGGCTGAGGAGTGTCAGAACAACTCTTGTGATTGGCATCTCTATCGTCTCTGATTTGAGCAGACAATTGAAAGAACAAACAGTTCAAATCACATTGTCGATGCAGTTCTCAACATAGACATGTGCGAATCACTGTTCTCGCTCTTATACGTTCCTGGTTTTATCGTGATCGATGCATCAGTATGTATATATACTCGATCGATGCATTAGTATACATAAATATATGTATATATAGATTTAAATGTATTCTTTTAGCATACGCTTTTATCCAAAGCGACTTACAATTGAGGAATACAATAAGCGATTCATCATAAAGAGGCAAATAAATGCAGGAGGTGCTTGCAATACAAAGTTTCAGGCATTGTTCAGATTAGTACAAGCTAGACAGGGAGAGATTAAGGAGAGAGAAAGCAAAGTTGTTGCTGTTTTTTTTTTGTTTTTTTTTAAAGATAAAGTCAAATGGTGACGAAAGAGATGAGTTTTCAGATGTCGCTTGAAAATTGTCAGGGATTCAGCATTCCGGATAGGAGTGGGAAGTTCATTCCACCAGCCAGGAACGGTGAATGAAAAAGTTCTGGAAAGTGATTTTGTGCCTCTCAATGATGGTACCACAAGGCATCGCTCACTTATAGATCTCAGACTTCTGGAGGGGATGTAGATTCGTAATAGCATTTAAAATGCATTTAAGTATTCAAATCTTAGATGTTTACGAATATCCTTTTATTATCTATTGAAACCCACAATATTTAAACTCCATACTCCATATATACATGTGTGTATATATATATATATATATATATATATATATATATATATATATATATATATACTGTATATATATAAATAAAAGCATATGTATATATAAGCATATATAAGCACTGGAAACTGGAAATAAGTTTAATACTTAATGAATGCTCTCTAAGTGCTGTCTAATTTCCATAAACATTTAAGCTTATTTTCATAATTGCTTAAAATATTAATTTTGGATTTTGCCAATTTTTGGTAATTTAACTAAAAGGCACTTAATATTTCATACAGCTTAGCTCTGATTCTTTTAATGCGCTTCTGTCTGGGTATCACTCAATACAGTCTGTAAACTGCTTCAGATTCTACATTTAGTGTCATTATCGTGATCATCATTGATAATAATAGCTTCTAGGTTTATTATCCCTGCTCATTTTTAACAGAGTTGCATTGAACACTCTCTGTAAGATTCCATTTCACTAACAGCATAATCTTTTTTGTCTGTCTCTTGTCTTTTCTCGCAGGCTTTCCACTGGTCTGCATCGTCCTCTGGATCTGCTCCAGACTGTATTTTGAGGACACAGAGTAAGTGCACATTTTTCCCTACCTTACTTAGTGGTGCTCGTTCATACTAGGGTTTAGGGTTAGGGATTTAAACAAGCCCCTAAAGCCAAGTGCACAATACAGAAATCAGTCTCATCACCTTTGATGTTTTCCGTCAGCAGCTAGTCTGCTACAAGAAGTCCCAGATTGACACCCGTGCAACGCTCTTCTAGAATGAATGACAACCCTATGATAAAGCAATGACTTTTGCCATTTGCTGCTTTATTGTAAATTACTGGTTAGGACATTGAGGGTGTCTATCTAGAAACCAGAATATCACAAGACTTGGGTTTGTAAGCAATGACCCAAAACACCCCAGCAACCACATAGAAACACAATAATTCCAATAATAGGACAGGAAATGAGTCTTTTAATGGATTGTGAGAGTAGAGAAGATGCAGATTTAAATCAGCTCTGTCTTATCCAGGCCTTTGGATTTTTTCCAGGTGCTGGGACATAAATGAAGACTCTCCTTATTGGTGGATCATCAAGGGTCCCATTGTAGTTTCCATAGGGGTGAGATAAAGCACGAGGACATGGATGAATGGGTTTGGCTCACACACACTTATTTTCAGCTCATATTTTCCTGTTTTCCTGCCCAACCAGGTGAACTTCCTTCTCTTCATGAACATTATCAGGATTCTGGTGCAGAAACTGAACCCTCGCCTGATCCAATTCAACAATTCAGCTCAGTACAGGTACAGAAAACAAGACAACACCGCAAACCCATGAGCAGGGCTATTAGAAACGGGACAGGAACTGCATGTGTCCTCAGGCGTGGCAATGAGTGGGTGCTTTCAATTCCTTCTCTGTGGGAGCTGAGCAGCAGGTCTGTGTGGGGGATTGTGGGATTGATAGTGCGGCTCAAGTGGTGAGAGCTTTACAATAAGCCTAACAAACTACTGGGTTCAATACATCAACTTTAGTAAATGCATTAGGTATTATGAACTGAAAGGTAATATTAGTTTATAAATATACATATAGTTCATTTTAGTTCATAATTCATTAACTAATGTTATCATATCAGTGTTATTTGCGTATTTATTTACAATATAGTATTTATTAATCATTTGAATTAGAATTTATGTTTATATTTTCAGTTTTCATTCTGTTATGTACTTTTGTAAATTCCATTTAGCTTTAATTTATTTTATTTTAGTTTAAGTAGTTTTAGTACTTCAATCTAAACTTATTTATTTCAGTTAGTTGCCAGGGTGTAATTTGTAATATTTGTTTTTAATTTTTTCGATGTAAAATTTAATTTAATTTAATTTAATTTACCAATATATTGTTTTACGTTTTACTTAATAATAACAACACTGTAATGTAGTAATATTTTTGGATATTAATAACATTAACCAAGATTAATAAACGCTGCAAAAATATAACTTGTATAGTTCATGCTGACTGTATAACTGATGTTTAATCTACAACCTTATTGTAAAGAAAATATTTAATGACTACAATGCTTATTAATCAGTAGAAATTGAATCTTAAGTTTAAACATACTTCTTTTAGTAGCTCCATCAGACAACATTTGACAACAACTGAACTGTAAAAAAAAAAATTTTTGTCAGGTTAAAAATGTGCCTCATATGCTAACATAACTGGTTGCACTCAAGTGATAAATATCATTTAATATAACTGAATCAGCTTGACTACATTAGATTGCATAGAAATAATGTCTTACGGTAACAATGAGTCTGTCTTTGTAGACAGGATGTTATGCAAAAGTTGTTCTTTCAAACCCCATAAACGTGCAAGAACTCCAGGGATGTGGTAATGAAATGCATTGAGAGTGACTTTGAGATTCACGGATAAGCACTACAGATGTAAAGCTGAAGCAAATGTTGCATGCTGACAGGAAATAGAATTGAGTTCCCAGAACGCTGCTGAAGGAGATTGTTGTGGACTCGAGACATCATTGTCACTGTGAGGATCCTTTGATCATTTTTAGCTACGGCGGCTGCTGGAAGTGTGATTCTCTTAGGTGCTGTGTCTTTGTTCTTTCATCTCTACTGTACTGTACTTCCCCCGTAGAGCCCACCAGATACTGTAACAGCACTGCTGATTGCCACAGGAAATACGATATTTTTAGGTATTTTTACAGATAACCCTCAAGCTGAGTTACTTTGAATTATTACAGTGTTACTAATATTTTGAATTCACTTTCTTATACAATGTATATACACTGGCAACCAAAAGTTTGGAATAATTAAGATTTTTAAAAATGTTTTTTAAAAGAAGTCTCTTATTCTCACCAATGCTGCATTTATTTAATAAAAAATACAGTAAAAACAGTAATATTGTGAAAAATTGCCATTTAAAATAACTTCTCAATTTGATTATATTTTAAATGTAATTTATTCCTATGAAGGCAAAGCTGAATTCTAATAAGCTGATTTGTGGCTCAATTATTATTGGTGCGCAATTTTTAATGATGGTTCTTATGTTGAACCGTTTTTGTGGAATTATTTTTTTTTTTCAGGATTCCTTAATGAATACAAAGTACATTGAACCACCTTTATTTGATTTTTCTTTAAATAAAATTATAAATGTCTTTGCTGTCACTTGTGATCAATTTAATGCATTTTTGCTAAATAAAAGTATTGATTTTTTTCAAAATCATATTTACCTCAATTGACAACAATTGAATGGTATTGTATAGCGTTTTTTTCTTCCATGAAAATATTAAGCAGTTTTAGTTGTAGTAATTTTAGTACTATTTCAACTAGTTGCCAAAGCAAAAGTTTTTCATCTAATATTTCTATTTTATTTTATTTAAACTTTATTTAAATGAATGAAATAATAATTAACAATAATAATACAGCCCACAAGAAACTCAAACAGGACCATCTCAATACCATTGTTTTCTTTTAAAGGGGTCATATGATGCTTTTTTAAAGATCATTATTTGGTGTATTTGGTGTAACAGAATATGTTGACATGCTTTAATGTTCAAAAAACACATTATTTTTCAAATACTGTACATGCAATCTTATGTATCTTATCTATACACAATCAGCTTGTAACACTCCAAAGAGAAAGGAAAACTTGAAATCGCACCCTTTATGACCCCTTTAAATATTTTGTTGTACTCTGTCAATACCATGGTATTATGAAAAAAGGCTGTATGCTTCAAAAAATTACCATGGCATTACCATGACGTGTGGATATGGTATAATGGCAATTCGTGGTATTCTTTAAAGTACCTTGTAGTTCTCTGTAAATAAATACCTTGATATAGGTAATAATTTGAGATTGTGTGTGATGGTATGAAATGGTAAAACTATGGTACTTGCGTATATACCATGGTACTGACATTTTCATGGTACGCCAGGGTACTTCCAAGAATAGCATGGTATACTATGGTACATGTCCAAAATATCATTCTTTTTGGTAGTTTTTTGTAAGTATTGTCAAAACCATAGTACTTTTTTGGACACAGTACCATGGTTTTTGGGCATGTACATGGTATGCTTTTAAGTACTTTGGTATATGATTATGGTAATCAACTGAAAACGTTTTCATTATAACAATAATCAAAATAAACAGTTCTTCTGCCAGTTCCTATAGTCAAACTGTAGGCTGTTGCCAAGCAACATAATCAAATTTCAATACTGTTTTTATATCCATGTGTCAGAGGATGATTTCCAGTACATTTCTGCCTGGCACAGCTAATTTTTAAGAGCACTGAATGATAATTTGGAGATAGATATGTGTATGTGTTTGGTTATGTGTCCCGTTAATGGTGCTATCATGAAGAGACTCTTTGTTCTTGCCAAAAATGAGTGTTTGCTGCTGTTATGTTTATATTCACACAGGCCTGTGAATGACAGCTACGCTCTCTAGGATCTGTGTTATTAAGAGTTTCTGTCAGATTATTTGATGGTTTTGCATTAAAACTGTGTGCAGTGGTGCTAATACAGTAAAACACAGCGAGTTTATTGATCCGTGAGTGATTTGAATTTTAATATATTAAACAGTGAGGGACCTCAAAGTATTTATATTTAAAGGAATAGCTCACCAGATATGAAAAAAAAAGTTTTTGCCATTAAATTTCAGTGAATAAACTTTAAATTTCACACAAAGTTGACTTCAGAAAACTTGGAATACAGTGCACAAGTTATATAGACTATACTTTTATGCTACAGTTCTTGATACAGATTTGTTTCATGAAGAAATCAACTAAACCTATCTTTTGTATTCCAAGAAGAATTAGCAGAGCAATTATAATAATCACTGCACATATGTTTACATTCATGCATATTCACTTTTATCTGGCTCACAAATAAAGAACAATACAAACACAAGAAACTATATTACTGGAAGCTATAAATACAACACTACTCAGTATTCACATCAATGTGCAAATACAGAGGACACTTATGAATACTGAAGGAACAGTTCACCCTACAATGAAAATTGTCAATGTTTTATTACCACCAGTATGCTGTTATTTTTCTTTTTCCACAGAAGACAATGAACGTGAATTGCTTGACACATCTCATACTGCATTCATCCATCATTGATAGCAAAACGACATTGTTTTTTTTGCATATATGCATGTGCAGGATTTTTCACACAAAGCTCTCTTTAAAATAAAGCCTACAAGTCAAATAGACTACTTTAATGTTTCTTTTATAATGCTTTCTGCTCCTTTTTGGGGCCTTCACAGTGTCTGTCCCCATTCACTTTCTTTGTACATGGAAAAAATAACAGCGTGCAGGTTAGGAATGACAGGGTGAGTAAATATTGATAGTATTTTGATTTTTCGTGAACTATTCCTTTACGGTGTTGTCTGAAGTCATGCCTTATCATGTTCTTACTCGTTTGAATCCATAAAGTCTACTCACCAGAATCTCTCAGCATTAATCTGCCCAATAACACTCTTACCCTTCTTCCTCCTCTTCATCCTTTATCTCTCCTCCCCTCAGGCGACTGACCAAGTCCACCCTCCTCCTCATCCCTCTCTTCGGCACTCATTACATGGTCTACAACTTCCTCCCAGAATACTTCAATGTGAGCTTGCGGCTTTGCATCGAGCTGTGTCTGGGCTCCTTCCAGGTTATTCAGCCCGCTGTCAGCACAACACAGCTTAAACACAAACACAGCACGCATAAACTTATTAAAGGGATAGTTCACCCAAAAATGAAAATTCTGTCATTAATTACTCACCCTCATGTTGTTTCAAATCCGTAAGACCTTCGTTCATCTTCGGAACACAAATTAAGATATTTTTGATGGAATCTGAGAGCTGTCTGACCCTGCATAGACAGCAATACAACTGAAATGTTCCCAAGTCCAGAAACGTAGCAAGGAGATCGGTAAAATAATCCATGTGACATCAGGGGTTCAACCGTAATTTTATGAAGCTACGAGAATACTTTTTGTGCGCAAAAGAAAAGAAAAAAACGACTTTATTCAACAATTCGTCTCCTCCGCTTCACCCTGTAGCGCCATTTTGGAGAGTATCAGCTGGACGTAAACAGCATATGCTGTTCTGTGTCAGCTGCGTCATGCCGGATCTGTTTCCTACGTTGTTGTGATTTGATCTGAATGAAAACAGCGTATCCGTGTGTTTACGTCCAGCGGATACTCTCCAAAATGGCACTACAGGTTGTTGAATAAAGTCGTTTTTTTTTTTTCTTTTGCGCACAAAAAGTATTCTCGTAGCTTTGTAAAATTACGGTTGAACCCCTGATGTAACATGGATTATTTTTACCGATCTCCTTGCTACGTTTATGGACCTTGATCGTGGTAATTACATTGCTGTCTATGGGAGGGTCAGAGAGCTCTCAGATTCCATCAAAAATATCCTAATTTGTGTTCCGAAGATGAACGGAGGTCTTACGGTTTGAAACGACATGAGGGTGAGTAATTAATGACAAGCATTTTCATTTTTGGGTAAACTAACCCTTTAAGGCTTGAATACACTACACGTCTTTTGCCCAGATAGACGTGTTGATGCTAGTTGGTAAAACCAGAACCAGTCTGCAGATTTTCGGCACTTGGAGTTCATGAATTTAGTGTGTGATTCACAAACAAATGACTCTTTCTGATTGGCTCTTGTTAGTGAATCAGAAACATGCAGCACAAACAGTATAGTCCAATTCATGAACAAATTACAATTTTCAGTCTGTTCTTTTTATTGAATCAAAAACTTCCAGTGCAACCAGTGTAGTCTGATTAACTAACAAATGTCTCTTTTAAAATGGTTCTCTTTAGTGAATCAAAAACATGAAAAGCAACCTGTGTAGTTCACAAACGAGTTAAGACTGTATTTAACCACTGTATTTAACTTTTTATTAAATCAAAACACACAGCACAAACAGTACAGTCTGATTCGCAAACAAATGACTCTTTTCAAATGGTTCTTTTTTAGTGAACCACACACATACAGTACAGCTCAACCAGTGTAGTTCAATTAACTAACAAATGACTCTTTTAAAATGGTTCTTTTTAGTGAATCAGAAACATACAAAGCAACCTTTGTTGCCTGGTTCATGAATAAATTATTAATTTAAACCAGTTTTTTAATCAAACAAAAACATGCAGCACAAAAAGTATAGTCCGATTTATGCACAAATGACTTTGTCAATCATAAACAAAGCAACCAGCGTAGTCTGATTCATGAACAAATGACTCTTTTACAACTATTATTTTAGTCAATCAAAAACACCTAGCCAGAGCCGATCCTCCCTATACGCAAAATATGCAAGCTGCGTAGGGCCCCCGAAACACCAGGGGGCCCCCTTGCTCTCAAAGATGATTTCATTTTAGTTTTGTTTTTGAATTTGGCCAGCGGTTATGAAAACATGAATGATCATTTCTTTTAATGCGGTGCGCTGTCGCCCTTTCTACGTAAAAATCAGTTAAATCATGTAAAGTGAATGTCGTACAGTCTTGCTCTAGACTAAAAAAACGAGTTGAAAGTGTACCGATCCGCGGAAGAGACACTGTTCTCCATCCCCGCCCCACTTTTGCGTAGGACCCCCAAAAGTCTAGGATCGGCACTGCACCTAGCACAAACAGTATAGTCTGATTCACGAACAAATTACTCTTTTAAACCAGTTCTTTTTATTGAATCAAAAACTCTATATTCCGATTCACAAACAAATAACTCTTTTAAACCAGTTCTTTTATTGAATCAAAAACACCTATCATAAACTGTATAGTCTGATTCACAAACAAATTACTCTTTTAAACCAGTTATTTTTATTGAATCAAAAACACCTAGCACAAACTGTATAGTCTGATTCACGAACAAATAACTCTTTTAAACCAGTTCTTTTATTGAATCAAAAACACCTAGCACAAACTGTATAGTCTGATTCACGAACAAATAACTCTTTTAAACCAGTTTTTTTATTGAATCAAAAACACCTAGCACAAACTGTATAGTCTGATTCACAAACAAATGACTGTTTTACAACTATTCTTTTAATAAAAAAAAACATACAAAGCAACCAGCGTAGTCTGATTTGCAAACAAATGACTCTTTTAAAATGGCTCTTTTTTAGTAAACCAAAAACGTACAAATCAACCAGAGTAGTCTGATTCACAAACTTTTAAATCAGTTCTTTTTATTTAATTAAAAACATGCAGTGCAACTACTGTAGTCTGATTAACTAACGAATGACTTTTTCTTTTTAATGAGTCACATGATAACAATGAAGCACATGTTTCTACAAGAGTTTGTGGTCGGTGTGCTATCGCCAATCGTTTAGTATATGATGGCCAGTTTTTCTCCATTTTCAACCATTTACAAAATCCAAAAGTGTATGATGTCTAGTATTCTGTTCAGATTTTTAAAGTCATGTATTCCAGCCTTCAGATGAGCTCAGATCAAAACAAGCTCAGAGCAGACCTCATTCTCACCTTTGATCTCCTGAGATAGGAGATGGACATTGGGGCTTTAGAGATATTACTTAGTTAGATGGAACACTAATTGAGTTTCCTGAAGGGCCGATGACTAATTTTAAAAATTAATTCCATGCAGGAGTTCGAGAAACATAACAGGAAGGCTGTTACCTTCTTGTAAAGGTTTAATATGATGTCCGTGATGTGCGTTTTTTTTAATGCTAATTACTTTCTGTGAAGGCTAACATTGAAGTAAGACTGTGTCATTTATCTTGACTAGTCAGACATGTCAGCTCACCCCGAATGTGCAAAATGACTGACAGGCAGAGAGGCACCTCAAGTTTTCAGATTGCTATTTGCTGTTTACAGAGCCTACGGCGGTCCTAGTGACAGGTTTGATATCTTAGGACATCTCAGTTAGATACTATATATAACCTGTATATATAGTATATATTGGGGTGTGTGTGTGTGTGTGTGTGTGTGTGTGCTATGTCAGACTGCTCAAAAAGAGCAATATTTTGATTTAGCCGCCTTCAAGGCTATCACTCACTGATCCTAGGACATTTAAAAACACCTCTACAGCAGCATTTATCTGCCACTGATCTGACAGTACCTGTAGTTCACCTGAAAATGATAATTGTGCCATTATTTACTAATCCTCATGTCGTTCCAAACCCGTATTTTTCCATGGAACACAAAAGTAGAAAATTTAAGAGTAGTTCTATAGATACCATCTTTAAACTCAATCAATGTCTAGCACAAGAAATTATAATGTGCAAAATTATTCTAAAATGATGAACTCAAGCTCATAAGAGTCCTTTGCTTGTTTATCAGACTGCACTGGTTGTTTGGTCTGTTTTTGATTAACTAAAATAAAATAATACTATTTAAAAGAGTAATTTGTTTGAGAATCTGACTTCATTAGTTGTGCTGTATGTTTTTAATTTGCTAAAAACAACCAGTTTAGAAGAGTAATTTGTTCATGAATTGGACTTCAGTTTTTGCGCCGTGTGTTTTTGATTGATTAAAAAGAACAAATTTGAACTCGAACACAAGCACAAACATTCTTCAGAATTGTTCCTTTTGGATTCTACAGAACAATTAACAGCATAAGAATTAATGAACGATTCCTATCATGTTTATATTCAGAGTGACACCTGCAAAATGTGTAAGCTGTTGTATGTTATTAGTGTGGAATTATCTGATTCTTCACTGTGGATGTGTACTTCAGCACTGGACCGTTATACATTTAATCTCATGGATACTTCTGAAGGATTAGGATCTGATCCGGATGACTCGAAAAACACAGATACACAGATTCATGCATGAATGGTGTAAACGGTGTTAACAGCATAAAATTGTTTTGTCTCATAACACTGAGATGAAAGGGAGAGGAAGAGAGATAGATCTATAATATTTGTAGATATTTGATCTGAGGAACATTTTATTCAATTTACAAAAACTGACTTTCTCTTCATTGATTTTCTTAAGGGCCTCATTGTGGCAGTTCTCTACTGTTTCCTGAACCAGGAGGTGAGTGATTAGGCCTATTATATGGCAGCTCTCACACACCATAAAAATACAAAAAAACTAATCAAAATAATGTGCTGAAAGCTAGATTCCAAAAATGCCATGCCCTTATGCTTTTAACAACTGTAAAAGTGCATGCAAGTCCGATATCTGGACTAACCAGCTTGTTTACTGTTGATTCTGCAAGTCAGGTTTGTTTTTGAATGGAGATAATCAGCGTTCTCAGATGCCTAAACAAGATTTGTACTCAAAATCTAGCCCAATAAAATCCTTGACAAGCATGTTTGCCAGTCTTTGTTAATTTGATTAAAAACAGACTGGGAAATTAACAAGAGGACTGCTTAAAGGCCAATACACAATTAAGGATAAATAATAATAATGCATTGCATTTCAGTCTTGCATTTAATGAAAATCATTTTTAACAAAACCAATATATTAAATGTAAGAGCCATTTAAGTTATTTGTTTATTTATATAGATGTGAAATAAGTTATTGTTTGGATAAAGAAATTGTTCAATAATTGTACTTAAATAATTTAATATGTTTCATATAAATATTGAAAATGATACTGATGTCATTTCCGGCAAGAGCCGTTAGAATTTGTTTCATGCAAGATTGGAGCGCTACAGTTTTTTGACCGTGTAACATTTCCAGTTATTTTTTGTTATTAAACTTTCTTAAAAGGAAATTACTGGGCTTTTGGATGTTATTCGAGTTCAATGCACGCTCACACAAGAAGAAGCAACAGAAATCAGAAATTAGATGGATTGCTATCACGTTATTTAGTCAAAAAACTCGCTCTGTGGAGATGGAAAGTGAACTAAAAGTGCGTAGATGCCGCGCTTGTGACAAGGACATAACCGACAGAGGATCGTCTGTGAATGAACACGGAAATGTTTGATGATCGCGGATTATAAATAGCGGACACGGCTTTATTCTCCGGTGGATTAAAGGGTTATTTCACCCAAAAATGAAAATTAGTCCAGAAATTACTCACTCTCAAGTCATCCTAGGTGTATATGACTTTCTTCTTTCAGACAAATCCAGTCGGAGTTATATTAAAAATTGTCTTTGATCTTTCAAGATGTTTCATGGCACTCAGCAGGTGTTGCATGCATCAGTCCAAAAGAAGTTAAATAAAAAGCGCCCGTCCATAAAAAAAAAGGGTGAACAAAGGCCTTCTGTAGCGAATCGATGCGTTTTTGTAAGAAAAATATCCATATTCAAAACGTAATAATCACTTTAATCTAGCTTGCGTTCACTGTTGTACACGGAAGCAGCTCCGGGAGCATGAGATATGAGGTCGGCTTTGCGCATGCGCCGCTCAGAAGTGACGAACGCGGAAGCGTAGGGGAGAGATCAAAACAAAACAACGGTCACTAATTAGAAGTACACACATTTGTAAAGAAGAATGTCGGAGGATTTCGATATAAGCCAAGAGGAGACTGGTTTTCCTTTGCTAAAGTAAGGAAACTTTGCTTCCTTTGCTCCTGTTAACAAACATTGGTTTTCACGAGACTCACTGGCGCATGCGCAGCGCTGACCTCATACATCATCCTCCCAGAGCTGCTTCCATGTACAACTGTTGGCGTAAGCTACATTAAAGTGATTATTACATTTTGAATATGGATATTTTTCTTACAAAAACGCATCGATTCGCTACAGAAGGCCTTTGTTCACCCCCCGGAGCCATGTGAGACATTTTTTATGGATGGGCGCTTTTTATTTAACTTCTTTTGGACTGACGCATGCAACACCTGCTGAGTGCCATTAAACAGCTTGAAAGATCAAAGACAATTTTTCATATAACTCCGACTGGATTCGTCTGAAAGAAGAAAGTCATATACACCTAGGATGACTTGAGGGTGAGTAATTTATGGGCTAATTTTCATTTTTGGGTGAACTAACCCTTTAAAAACTGCATCACAAAGAAGAACGTCCCTACTCATTGAAGCTCCGTGAATGAGGTAACGGACTTTTGAATCGGCTATAAAGATGACGCAATGCATGTTTGAAGAAGCTGAAATGCATACATATGATACAGAATTACAGTTATTACAGTATTACGTGTACTTTTAATCGTCTGCAAGCAGTTTGTGCACTGGTGGAATTATGATTGCTGAGGGAGGAGAGGATGACGTTGCAGTTTTTGAACACGAGAGTGTTTAAACCCACCGAAAGAGCATTAGAAGAGCAACTTCACAGATGCATTAGTTTGAGACGAGCGAAATTTTCTGCTCTTACCAGTAAGATCAAAACCATTGAAAGGTTAATGACTGATGATGGAAATCTGCAGAATGTACAAGATCTGATGCAACTTGATTTTGCACAGTTGATAACCGAGTTTACCGATTTAAATGCGCAAGTTCAAGATCTTCTGCTTGAAGATGAAAAGATTGCAGATCAAAGAAATTGGTTTGAGCCTAAAATGGATTCCTTGAGACTTTTTGTAAAGAAAACGGAAGATTGGATGGCTGCTGTTGGTGATAGAAAAGGCCAAAATGAGATGGAGGATGATGTTACTCCTCACGACAGTGCCTCGCAGGTATCTGTGAACAAGAGTGAATCAAAACAGACGCATGATTCAGATGTTGACAGTGGATCAATTTCCTCCTCAGTATTGTCTGCATGTGCACGAGAAGAATCAAAACGTGCAGCTTTGCTAGCAATAGCAGCAGTTTTAAAGAAAAAACAACTTGAAATTGAAAAGATGCAGCTCAAAGCAAAAATGGAGGAACTTGAAATTGAAACGGCACTTGCAGAGAGCAATGCTAAATTAAATGTACTAAAAGAGTATGAATATTCAGAGGATGGCAGAAGCAGTGTACAATCTAAGCAAAGAAAAGGAATCCACCTGAAGCAATCAGAACTGAAAACAGAGCAAAGAGACTATTCTCCTTGTCATTCAGCTGTGGTGAAAAGTAGAACAAAAGCTATCCCGAATCCCGTGTCACTTGCAGCACCACAGCCAGGCACACCAGAAGACACTGGCCACAGTGCTAATCGTCAAGCAAACGACAGCATAATACAGGTTATGCAGAAACAACATGACTTCACGGAAATGCTTGTGAAACAGCAAAGACAAATTCATCTTCCTAGTAAATGCTTCCTAGTAGATCCGTTAACCTACAAATCCTTCATCAGGTCCTTTGAGCATACCATCGAACATAAAACAGACCATGAAAAGGACAAGCTATATTATCTAGAACAATACACTGCAGGAGAACCACAAGAGCCCATCAGGAGCTGTGAATATATGCCGTCAAGCAGAGGTTTCAAAGAAGCAAAACGACTTCTCCAAAGGCATTATGGAGATGAGCTGATCATAGCAAGGGCTTACATCGATAAAGCTTTAATGTGGCCTCAGATCAAGTCTGATGATGGTAAAGTCTTGAGTGCATATGCTTTGTTCCTGATTGGTTGTCGTCATACATAATAATAATACTTCCTTACATTTATATTGCGCTTTTATGGGCACTCAAAGCGCTTTACATAGAAGGGGGGAATCTCCTCATCCACCACCAGTGTGCAGCATCCACCTGGATGATGCGACGGCAGCCATATTGCGCCAGAACGCCCACCACAAACCAGCTTATTGGTGGAGAGGAGACAGAGTGATGAAGCCAATCAGCAGATATGGGGATGGTTAGGAGGCGATGATGGTCAGAGGCCAATGGGCGAATTTAGCCAGGATGCCGGGGTTACACCCCTACTCTTTTTCGAAGGACATCCTGGGATTTTTAATGACCACAGAGAGTCAGGGCCTCGGTTTAATGTCTCATCCGAAAGACGGTGCTTTTTGTCAGTATAGTGTCCCCGTCACTACACTGGGGCGTTAGGACCCACACAGACCACAGGGTGCGCACCCCCTGCTGGCCTCACTAACACCTCTTCCAGCAGCAACCTAGTTTTCCCAGGAGGTCTCCCATCCAGGTACTGACCAGGCTCAGCCCTGCTTAGCTTCAGTGGGCAACTAGTCTTGGGCTGCAAGGTGATATGGCTCCAACATTGGAGGTTGGAGAGTCTATGGAGGAAATGGACAAATCCTACCAATATGAGAGTTGTAATTTCAAAGTTGCCATACAAAATGAAAGAAAGATGGCGATCAGAAGCTTATGACATTAAAGAGCGACAAGGAGTAAGAGCCAGATTTACTAATTTAGTTGACTTTATTGATCGTCAAGCAAAAGTGGCCATGGACCCTCTCTTCGGAGACATACTGGACAACCGCAATGTTGTAACAGTGAAGGCGAATCCGAAAGAGAAGTATCCTAAAAAAGGAATAAGTAAGAGCAGCTTTGCAACCAACATTTGCATGGAAGAAAGAAAGCCACAAGATGGGTCAAGAAAACAGGTCAGTCCACCCAAGATAGTCAATGCCTTTGAGAAACCATGTATGTTTTGCTTAAAAAGTCATGCTCTCGAGTCATGCAGTGAAATCAAAGAGCAGCCACATAAAGTACGTCTGGAGTTCCTGAAGTCTAAGGGCTTGTGCTTTGGATGCTTAACTCAAGGCCATCTTAGCAAGATGTGTAAGAAGAGAATGGAATGTAAGGAATGCTCCCAAAAACACCTAGACATTCTGCACATTAAGGAGGACCACAAAAGTGCAAAAGATGATGAATCATTTGACAAAAAGATCTCATGGGCCCAGGTCTCCCTTAACCACCAATCAAGCAACTTCTCAGAGTCTGCAGGAGATAACTGTGTTGTCAATAGTGCCAGTAAAAGTCAAGTCAGGTAAAAGTGACAGATATGTGGAAACATATGCTTTCCTGGATGCAGGAAGTACAGCTACCTTTTGTACTGAAGAACTGAAATTGAACTTGAAAGGGAAGCCAACTCAGATTCTACTGAGCACTATGTGTCAAGATAAGCCAGGAGAGCAGAAGCTAGTAAGCAGTTTTATCCTCACAGACCTGGAGGTGTGTGCGCTGGAAGACACGAAGTATACACAAATACACTCATTGACGTGCTCACCAGGTTTAGAGAAGAACTGATAGCCATGATGGCAGACGTGGAGTCGATGTTCTATCAAGGGAGGGTTCCTGAAGAGGATGCAGATCTGCTTCACTTTCTTTGGTGGCCAGATGGCAATTTGAATGCACCTATAGAGGAGTATAGAATGATGGTGCACTTATTCGGGGCCGCTTCGTCGCCTAGCTGCGCCTCTTACGCACTGGGAAAGACAGCAGATGACAGAAAAGATGTAACATCTCAAAAAGCTGTTGAAACAGTTCTGTACAATTTTTATGTAGATGACTGTTTGAGATCAGTGTGCACGGAAAAAGAAGCAATTGACCTAATAAAAGACCTTAGAGGCTTGTGTTCTGAAGGAGGTTTTTTCTTAACGAAGTGGGTAAGCAATAGTAGAAAGGTATTGTCTATCCCAGAAGATCAAAGAGCCAGTGGAATAAAAGATCTTGACTTGGATCAGGATTCTCTGCCCATCGAGAGAGCACTCGGCATGCAGTGGTGTATAGAAAATGACACCTTCACTTACAACATCCACGTAAAGGAGAAGCCATTGAGCAATTCGTCAATTCAATTTACGACCCTCTTGGCTTTCTGAAATCAAAAACGAAGTCAAAGTCAATGTTCTCAACATCAGTGAAAGCAATGACATTATGAGTAAGTTAACTGATTACTACTCAGGCTGGTCTCAGTTCAAAAAGGGCAACAGCATGGATGCTAAGATTCAAAGAAACATTGTTACAATTATGCAAAGCAAGGAAACAATTCCAATCATCCATTGCACAATCAGAGAAAGACACAAAGAAACAAGCAGCCCTTCTACAGGATCAAATGCAAAACTACAGATCAACAATGAGAGGAAAGTCACTGAGCCTGGAAGACTTAAATCAAGCAGAAATTCAACTCATTCAGTACAGTCAGAAACAACACTTCTTTGAAGAAATTGAGGCTCTGAGAAAGAATGTTCCTGTTAAGAGAAGAAGTCAACTATACAAGCTTGACCCTGTGCTTCAGGATGGAATATTAAAGGGGTCATATGATGCTATTTTAAAGATAATTATTTGGTGTATTTGGTGTAACAGAATATGTTGACATGCTTTAATGTTCAAAAAACACATTATTTTTCAAATACTGTACATTATTGTAGGTCCTCTATGCCCTGCCTCTCTCAAACGCGTCGTTTTCAACAAAGCCCCCTCCTTTGACAAGCGCAGTCTGCTCTGATTGGCCAGCTGACCCAGAAATGTAACGCCCCTTAACATAATCGCGAGCTTCAAGCTTTCAAAGTAAATATCAAGACAGTTAAGGATTTGAGACTTTAGTCTTTGCAACTCTACAGATCTTCTTTATACACCAAGAGCTTGTAACACTACAAAGAGAAAGGAAAACTTGAAATCGCATCATATGACCCCTTTAAGAGTGGGTGGTAGGCTCGACAACGCGGCCATGCCAGAAGAATCCAAACATTCCGTCATTCTCTCTAAGCACTCCAGAATTTCCACTCTCATTCTAAGTGACATCCATCAAAGATATGGGCACTGTGATCGAAGCTACCTGCTATCTATGCTCAGACAAAAATTCTGGATCCCCCAAGCTAGCTCAGCTATTCGAAAGCTTATATATAAATGCTCAGTTTGTCGCAGACTTAATGGAAGAGCCTGCCAGAAGACCGCTTGCTACCTGATAAACCCCCTTTTACAAACGTGGGTGTCGATTACTTCGGACCCTTCGAAGTTAAACAGGGCCGGAGTACTGTGAAAAGGTATGGATTGTTATTCACTTGCCTAACAATTAGAGCAGTACACATTGAAGTAGCTGATAGCTTGGACACTGACTCATGCTTAAACGCTTTGAGGCGCTTCATAAGTAGAAGCGGACAGGTGTCAGTCATGCGCTCAGACAATGGCACAAATTTTGTTGGCGCCGAAAGAGAGTTGCAAGAAGCACTGAGCAACCTGAACCATAGCAAAATTGAAAATGTCATGCTACAGAAAGGCATTAAATGGATACTTAGTGCTCTCTTAAAAGAACAGTCTATCAACGATGACAGTCTTCACACAATCATGTGCGAGGTGGAAAGCATCATTAACAACAGACCAATAACTAGTGCATCAGACAATCCGAATGACCTTCTTGAGCCTCTGACGCCTAACCATTTCCTGTTGGTGAAAACTCAACCCAGCCTACCACCGGGTCTCTTCAAAAAAAGAGGACGAATATGGGAGAAAACGCTGGAAACAGGTCCAATATCTTGCTGATTTGTTTTGGAGTAGATGGACTCATGAGTACCTACCCATTCTACAAGAGTATTAAACACGTATTTATACCGATTTCATCAGGCTCCGAAAATCCTTAAAAAAGAACGCAAAGAATGGCCTTCTCAGCTGCCATAGTTGCAACTCTTGCGTCATCAGAACAGTGTGTTCAACGCACCACCGTTTCCGTTTAAAAAACGTTTTGCACCGGGTCTCGTCACTTCCGGTTCAAGCGTGATGATCATAACCAATGTCCATCACATATGCGGACTGATGTCTAAACATTTTTTTAATTTTTATTCTTTTCACATTTAGATATAAAAATTTAATAAAACGTCAACAATAAAAACAGCTAGCTAGTTTAACTGATTATCTTAAAAGTCCATAGATATCGCTATTATTTAAGACGGCTGTTAACACGTTCTCCAACAAGCGGAAGCAATGAGACCTGTTTTCCGGGTTTGGTCAGGTGATGTTCGACATATACCCTATTAGGGGCCGGATGTGTAAGAGCCATTCAAGTTATTTGTTTATTTATATAGATGTGAAATAAGTTATTGTTTGGATTAAGAAATTAAATAATTGTACTTAATTTAATGTGTTTCATATAAATATTGAAAATGATGCTGATGTAATTTCCGGCAAGAACCGTTAGAATTTGTTTCCTGCAAGATTGGAGCGCTACAGTTTTTTGACATTTCCAGTTATTTTTTGTTATTAAACTTTCTTAAATGGAAATGGGCTTTTGGATGTTATTCGAGTTCAATACACGCTCACACAAGAAGAAGAAGAAACAACAGAAATCAGAAATTAGATGGATTGCTATCACATTAAAGAACAGTTCACTCAAAAATGAAAATTGGCTGAAAATGTACCCAGCCTCAGGTCATCCAAGATGTAGATGAGTTTGTTCCTTCATCAGAACTGATTTAGAGAAATTTAGCATTACATCGCTTGCTCACCAATGGATCCTCTGCATTGAATGGGTTCCGTCAGAATGAGAGTCCAAACAGCTGATTAAAACATCAGAATAATATGAAATGATAAAATATACACACACATTTATAACATATGTAAGATTTCAGTTTTGTTTCGATCAAAGTCTCTCCTGAGATTTTGTGTTTATATATTATGCAGTACATGTGTTTGTCTGTTAGGTTCAGAAAGAAATACGCTTACGTTGGATGCGATATCAAGAGGGGAGTTACGTTGTCGTCCCTGTTGGAGCCAAAGGAAGTCAGATGGACACTCCATTCTAGAGTCATTAAAACTCACCGGTGCCTCTAATATACAGACCTCAACACCTCCAGAAAACATGAACATCTGAATCAAACAGTTTTATTAAATGCAGATTGTATTGCTCAGTTGATATGACAACAAATGGCTTAAATAGCCAGAATATACAGTGTTTCGGCTGCAGTATATCTGTGAATTAAACACATTCATTCATTAGAGAGCATGGTAAAAATTTGTTTAAAAAAATGTGAATACTGAATTAATCATAGCAAAACTGCTGCTTTTGGGGGATTCTGGGTGGGTTTAATCAAAGTATGTACATATAAAAGCCTATAAAAATATACTTCTGTTGCCTTTCAAATTCAGATATTTAATTATAATATTTATTACTTTGGGGGAAATGTTAAACTCTAAAATTGTACACAATAAAAGGCAGTATGGTGGTTTTGAATGTGTACATATTTATCTGTATGTATGTATGTATGTACATGTTTACAGTATTAACATTTGTAAAGAGAAATATAAAGATTAATTGGTAGATTCATGGATTTCTGAGTGAGATAGGCCTACAGGTAACCAGGCAAGTTGTTATGTTTTATATGTTGTAATTCTGTAGAATTTGTTAACTACAATTTCTATTGGCAAAAACAGTGGTTTGATATTTCCTTATCATTTCAAAAGTTGTTTTGTGTTTATAACTGTATTTATATTTAGCTGAAACGCCTGTAATAGGCTGTTTAATGTCAAGTTCCCATAGAGTGACAACACGTCCTGCAAATTGCTCATCATATGTTCCTGATACATCATATGTATCTTTTTTCCCCCCTGCCATATAAATGTTCAAAAGCATCTTTGTAGCAAAGACTGTAAGGTACACTCTAAAAAATGCTGGGTTAAATATAACCCAGCGCTGGGTTAAAAAGGGACAAACCCAGCTATTGGGTTGTTTTGACCCAGCGGTTGGGTTAAATGTTTAACCCAACCTTCTGGGTAGTAACCCAACCGCTGGGTCAAAACAACCCAATTTCTGGGTTTGTCCCTATTTTACCCAGCAGTGGGTTGTATTTAACCCAGCATTTCTTAGAGTGTACCGTTTACTGTTTGTTTGTTATACTTTTAATTATTTACCTGAACGGAAGTCTCGTACATTCAAAGAAAATAGCTTACTTTTGCGTTTCGAAATAGAGCAGAGATTGAAATGCCAAATGGGTTTAATTAACAGTGGAATGTTTTCATGTGTCCAAAGACTGCTGTTGTGTTGCTTTATATGTAGCCTTCTCTTCTAATTCTCACCAAATGTGCATTTATACTCTATTGGCTATAAACAGCTAGTAAAATCATTGTAAACTTTTGTATTATAATATTATTGTATTATAGCCTACTGTATATTTTCTAGCTGTACTAGCCTACATTATTTATTTGTTTATCTGTCTGTTTTCAAATGCTCTTTGAGTGGCCTTAAGTATATTAATGCATCAAATCAGAGTGCATTACAGAGATGGAAATATTATCAAATTTTATGCTTTATCTGTGTAATGGATTTTATCAATTTTTTAGCTTTAGTGCAATTAAGCTGATGCCGTCACTCATGTGCTTGCTATTATGTTTGTGTATGTGCATAAGCAAGCTGGTCCAATGTGTACGTGTATCTATTTTTGAGCTTAAGTCTTGATTTTTTCTGCTTTAATGTGTACAATATAATTACTTTAAAAAAAAAAAACAGGAAAAATGTATACATAAAATGTCTTTCTGCTAGATTTGTCTGTCAGTAATAAACACTGACCCCTGCTGGTCAATACTTACTCACCATAATTATTTTAATGAGATTTGAGTCATGTTTAAGGTTTTGAAAGTCCTGTTTTGTTCTATATTCATTTTTGCTAACAATTAGAACCAAATTGAGGTGCAGACAAAAATGGTCCTCCTTCGTTTATTTATTTATTTCGTTTATTTATTTATTTATTTTTGATTGTTTTCACAAGCATTTTCATCTAATCTGCCACAAAATGTTGACCCAACTTTGCAATAAATTTTGCCAAGTAATTTGGATCTAGCGGCACTTGGGCGTCCAATTCATTTTAGAGAATTGATTCTTTCAGATTATCAGTTCAATGAATCGATTCACCGCGTGTCATCACTTAATGTTTTCCGCTCTATTTTTGTTGTTAAAATGTCTTTTGGATTAGTTTATAGCCTGCCCACGTGTGCTTTAACAATTTTAACAATATTTCTACCGTCATTCCTAATGTTTTAGTTTAAAACAAAGTCACATAGTGTCAGGAAATGTACAAATAGAAATGTTATGAATTGGTGCGACAAAAAAACAAAAATCGTCTCCGCTTTAGTTTGTTAATATTAACAATGTTAATTATTAGTAATGATTCTACAATATTGCTCCCCTTCATCTTTTTACAGCGATTTGTGAAACACTTTGCGAATCGGTTCGACTGAATCATTCAAAAGAGTCTGTTAAAAAAACGATTCGTTCGCGAGCATTACTTCAGCACTGAAGCATTATGATGGCGAGGCGTGGCGTTTTACAAAAACTCCTGTGTAATGATTGGCGTGCCAAAGTGAAAGACGTTTTCCTTTTTTCCGAGAAAAAAAAAAACAATTTAGGAAAGGAAAGTGTCTTGAGAAAACATGGCGGAGTAAGAGAAAGAAACGTTACCGATGCTTCTTGAAAAAGCGAGAAACTCTCCCACCACAGGACATGTAGCGCGGTTACACACTTTAAAGCTGTTCAAATCTGAAAGTGAGGTAACGTTATGAGTTTGATTTCGTTTCTCTTCGGCATTATTTTGTTTGTGCCTGAACAGCTTCTCCTTCTCTGAACTATTCTGTAGCCTATGTGTTGCATAGTACTTCCTTGTCTTTTTTTAAAGAAAGTTCTTGCATTATTTTTTAACTTCTATGGCAATTTCATGCAAAAACGACTTTCTGCTAACGTTAGTCAAAATTATCTTTACAGTTTATCTCAAAGACACGTCAGTATATGCTGACCATGGCATAGTAGTAGGGAGTAAATGGTAAGCACAATCGGTTCTGTCAAAAAAAAAATGGGTAAAAAAAAAATAATTTAATTATTATTATTAAGTAATTATTAAGGTATTATTAAGCACATTTTCAAAATGACAAAATGCCATTTTCATTACTGTAGTCCCCTAAAAATAAAGATAGAATATTTACATTTCAATGTATTTATACCAATAGGCCTAATATAATATAGAATTTTATTTTATGGCTATTTTATAGGACAGTTGGCATTTTATTTATTTATTTTTACTTAGTTGTGTCCAGACAGGATGATTTTCATCAAGACTCATCGTAAGAATTACAAGTAAGATCATTGGTTTGTATTAAAATAAGAATCGAGTATGTTCCTAATTCTTTTGAAAATGTGTAAGCTGCTTCCCAAAGCCACCTGTGGGATTTTATGAGGAAAGGCTCATGGAAAGGCTCCGGCTGACAGAATCGACACATCAGCTCTTGTGTTTGTGTGCTTGAATCTTTTAATGAATCGCAGGCGTTTACAGTGTACAGGCTGCACCTTTGTGTTTTATTCTTTTCACAAAGCTATTGTCACTCTTGTAGAGCCTTTGAATAAGTGGCCTCAACGACTCTGGAACTGTTAGCATAAAGAAAACATGAACTGGAATGATGGTGCAGTTGTTTCTTTATTTGATTTCAGTTCAGTGTGTGAGTGGTTAAATATTCCTGGCATGATTGTTTAGTGAAATTACCCTGCAAAGGAAGTTGAAATGTCAAAACAAAAAGGAAAATTCATAGAGCGTGTCTTTATCACATGCTTGAGTAAACATATGGTTGGACATGGCCTGCATGGGCTTTGTTGGACCAACTGGCTCAGGACTTTAGGAAAGGAGCCACAAAACCACCGTGTTTGGCCTATCGTGGTCTAAAACAGTGGTTCCCAACCCTGGTCCTGGAGGCACCCCAACACTGCATGTTTTGCAGGTCTCCTTAATCAAACACACCTGATTCAGGTCATCAGCTCATTAGTAGAGACTCCAAGACAGGGCTGTCCAAACTCGGTCCTGGAGGGCTGGTGTCCTGCAGAGTTTAGCTCCAACCCTAATTAAAAACACCTGAACCAGCTAATCAAGCTCTTACTAGGCATAGAAACTTCCAGTCAGGTGTGTTGAAGCAAGTTGGAGCTAAACTCTGCAGGACACCGGCCCTCCAGGACCGAGTTTGGACAGCCCTGCTCCAAGACCTCAAATTGGTGTGTCAGAGAAAGGAGACATGCAAAATGTGCAGTGTTGGGGTGCCTCCAGGACCAGGGTTGGGAACTACTGGTCTAAACTACGGAAGTGTTTACAATTCATATCAAATTAACCTTTTTTTTGTTTTTTTTCCAAGACATTGCAGAGATGAAGGTCTCAGCCCTTTCCTGAGTATTCAGATTGTTGGTTTATCTAGTTTTGAATGTTAACAATGCTTTTCGATTTCTGCTCAATACATGGAATTCCTGAAGTACAAACAAATATGATTTATGTTGTGTTTTCCCACTGTTCTGTTTCTGCTCAGGATAAAATTAATTCAAAGATGAAAGTGTTGTCATTGTTTACTCGCACTCTTGCGCAGTGTTGGGGAAAGTTACTTTTAAAAGTAATGCATTACAATATTAAGTAATGCGTTACTCCATAAAAAAGTAACTAATTACGTTACTTAGTTACTTTTTATGGAAAGTAATGGGTTACGTTACTTTTGCGTTACTTTTTAAATCTGGACAGGGCTGGTGTGTGTGTGTGTGTGTGTGTGTGTGTGTGTGTGTGTGTGTGTGGGAGAGAGAGAGAGAGAGAGAGAAAGGCTCAAATTTCTTAGACTCTCATAGTGTCGCTCGCCTGTCAGATGGATGAGGGTTCAGATCCAGTGAAAGCATGGACATCTTCGCTCTTTATGCTTGTCTTTTGTTTTAGAGTTATGATGACATGATATTAGATTTATTTCCAAATCTGCAGGTTTGCTGTTGGGTTTTTGGACTTTTACTATGAATTTAAATGGATGTGATCACAAAAGACGAGGATCAAGCGTTTCATGTCCGTTCCAGGTAGGAGTTACTTGTAATATATTACCCCCAACACTGCTCTTGCGTTCCCAAACTTAGGACGTTCTCCTGTGCAGTGTTATTTTAGTATTGTTTCTAAATATACTATTGAATAATTGAATTAGCTTTTATTTTTATATATTTTTTTTATTTTAAATTTTAGTTAAAATTTTAGTAATTTTGTTATGACTTATGTTTTGCTAGTTTTAGTTTTTTAAATATCTTTTATTATATTATATTATATTTAATTTTTGTTTTTTTAGTTCTTCCACTTAAGCATATTTTATATTAATTGCAAGACAACGTTTCTAGTTTTCATGTGTTTTTTATGTTAACGTTTTTTAATCTAATATTTATATTTTAGAAAATTATTTAAACTTTATTTCAGTCAACAAATAATAATAATGATAATATTATTTATTAAATCATCTTAGTTTTAGTTTTAGTTAACAATGACGTGGCTGCGTCTGTGGAATACAAAAGGAAATATTTTACAGATGTCAATCACCAAAAATGATGATATGATCATGCACCTCAAGCTCAAGTGTTCTGAAGTTATATGAACTTTGTGAGAAAAACATTAAAATATAAGTAATTATTTTGTAAAAAAAAAAAAAAAGCTCCCTTTTACCATAGCTCATTTGCACAAATGCATAACCATATTCAAACATATTGTATGAAGAAGCATTGCACCAGGTTTAACATCAGCAGTGCCAAGTGGCATTGAATCCTTGGGTTTTTTCTCACACTAACTATCATATGACTTCAAAAGACTTGGAATAGTTTGTGAGTCATATGGACTTTTTAATGATGCCTTTTTGTCAACTTTGTAGCTGGACAGGTTCTGGCCACTATAACACTTTTGAAAATGTCTCCACTTGTGTTTCTTGGAACAAATCAACTCATATGGGTGGGTCTGAAATAGCGCTAGGGTGAGTAAATGGTATCTAATGTGTCAGCGTCCCTTCAGATGAAAGCATTAGTCAAGATTATAGATGGTGATGTTGGTCTCAGTCTTCATTTTAAATTAAAAACCTTTGTTTTTCTCATGCACTGGTTTATCCGACACTTGCCTGGGTCACATCAAACAGCCACTGTTTGCAACAACTTGTGACTTTTGATGATCGGATGGTTGCTCACGAGGAACTCAAGAGACTTCCTCATGTTCACCCATCCACATGAGATGCAACACAAGTCAGAATTAGTTTGTAGGGTGAAAGTGTAGCATGTTGTGATTAATCAGTCATTGACTGTTTTCTTAGTGAAGTTATTACTTTACCATATGTTAACTCGTTTTACAGCGCATCCGTTCTCTTCTACCTCTCTATCTAGTTTAAGCAACCAAAAGACTTCAAATATGTTGTTTAGCGCTAGAGTTTGTCATTCTGTAGCAGATGTGATCCACTGACGTGCACTTGTTTTTCCATCAGATAAACAGGGTTTGTAATGTAATACAGTGTGCGGGTGGAGGCGAGTGAATGAGGGCTCAGGTTTGTCGAGAGATCTCCTGTGTGTACATTTTTAATAGGCGTGTTTAAAAATTAAAAGGGAGGGTCATCAGTTGTTGCACTAGTATTTTGTCTCTTGTATTGCTGTCGTACATCCTTAAATACTGCAGGAGCATCTCAGGCTGGACCTGAAAGATGAGTCAAGGGCCTGTGTTTCTTTCCACACATGCAGCTGTTACAGAAAATATTGGAGAGAGCGGGGAATGGGATTGAACAAACTACTCCGCCATGGCTCCAACAAGGCCTTGAAGTTTGGATGGGATGGTTCATCTAAACTTGAACAGTTCGTCATCATTTGCTCACCTTCATATAATTGCAAACCTTTCTTTTGTAGAACAGAAAAGGAGATGTTTGAAAATGTTTACGCTAATATAAACGCTCTGAAAAGCATAAAAAATACTAGCATAACAGGAGTCTACCACTCATGCATTTTATTCCAAGTCTTCCAAAGCTGTACAGAGACTTTTGCACTATTTTATGGTGAAAAAGTTATTTAGTGAGTATTTTTCCTACTGCTTCCAGATATCATTCCCCAATCTGAACTACTATGTTGCGTTTGGTCATCACCTTATTTTAGTAATGTTTTATGTACTTATGTTATATGTAATTGTTATTTATTAATATTTTTATATTCTCAGTTGTTTTATTTACTTATTTCTAAGTTTTAGTAATTTATTTTAAGTTTGAATGCTTTTGTCATTTTTATTAGTATTTTATTTCTGTTTTAGCAATTGTAGTACTTTTAAAAAAGTTTTTTTTCTTCTCCGTTTTTCATTTAACTATATTTTTTAACATTCATTTTAATTACCCAAAATATTTAATATTTTTAAAGTTTTAGTTAACAATAACAACACTGATTCAAATAGACTAATTTTACAACACTTATTTCGTGTGTGTGTGTGTGTGTGTGTGTTTTTTTTTTTTTTGGTCACAACTCCTTTTGATTGTATGGAAATCAAATTTAAGACTAGGCCTATTTTCCAAGTCCTTGAAAGTTGTGCAGTGGCTCTTCCTCTATTTTATGGTCAAAGTTATTTAATGAGTATTCATGTATTCTTCTCCATTCTGCATATTTGAACTGTCATGTTGCATTCAGTCATGAACGATACCACACAGTTATTTTAGTATTACTATATTTATTATTAATATTTTGAATTGGCTTTTATATTAGTATTTTCAGTTTT